TCAGAAGTCTGCATGAAGTGCTCGACACCCCACGGAGAGCTCGGTATCCTCACGAGCTCGGCATACTTGGGTAGTTGGCATGGCACACGTTCCGATGGGCGGCATAGCAAAGTGCTCGGCGCGGGATGGCGTGTTTCGATGCTCGGTGGGTCGGCGCATAGAGAGGTCGGCATTGGGGAATGGTCGGGATACATGTCCTGATGGTCGGCACATGGTGCACGTCTTGGTGGTTGTCACATCTCGGTATTCAGCATCCCCACATCATTCTCACATTGGTTCAAACTGTTGGGCGAGGCACGCGGTGTTTTGCACGCAAACCGAAGTGGTGACAAGAATGTTTGGGTAAGGTAAGTACAAGGGTTACTACGATGCGTATAATCCTCCATTCCTTACAACAAGCTCGACTTGTCTAAGGAATGGGGGGGCTAGATGATGTGATCGTTAGTAGTGGTTCATGAAGGACCGGTCGCGGTTAAGCCGTCGCACTTGTATGGAGAGCACTTCGCGCCCAAGTGCGCGGCACCCTCAAGTGCGCGGCACCCCCAAGTGCATGGTACTCTCAAGTGCGCGGCACCCTCAAGTGCGCGGCACCCTCAAGTGCGCGATACCCTCAAGTGCGCGGCACCCTCAAGTGCGCGGCACCCCTAGGTGCGCGGCACTCCCAAGTGCGCGGCCCCGGGTGTTCAGTGTTAGAGAGTACTTGGCATTTAGGCAGCCCGGCCTGAGGGCGCCGTCAAAGGGGCTGGAACTTGATATTGGCGTTGAGATCAAGTTATGAGGAAGTTGACAGCAATAAGGACTCTAGAGACAATAGAGATAAACATCAAGAAGACTTCTTGTCTCAGGAGGACTCTCCAAGTTTCTCCTATAAAAGGAGCAGGTTCATTCATTTTTACACAACACACACATACTTGTTGTCTCGTTACTCTGCCGCTTTCTCTTTGGACCGCCACTGACTTGAGCGTCGGAGTGTTCGCGCCGGGACCACCCCCGGCGTGTTTTGCAGGTACCGACGATCGAGGAGACGTAAACCGGTTTGGAGAGGAGAGGTCTAGCGGTTCAGGTATTTGTGGTATAACATCGGTCATGTAGAAAAAAGTTTCCGCGCGAAAGGATATCAAGCAAATTTCTCTAAAGAAAATGAAAAAGGAGAAAATTTGCTATTCTATGCAAATCACGCAACTTCAGAAGAAAAAATAATATTTGGTTCCTAGATAGCGGTTGTAACAACCATATGACCGGAGATGAGAAGAAATTTAAAAATATTGATAGATCTATAAAATCACAAGTTCGGTTAGGCAATGGATATCTAGTAGAAGTTGAAGGCAAAGATTTGATTGAGGTCGAGACTCAAAAAGGTACTCGTCTCGTTGAAGATGTGCTGCTAGTACCAAAACTTGATACTAATTTACTCAGCGTGAAACAAATGGTGGAAAGAGGATACACACTACTCTTCAAAGACAACTCTTGCACCATTTATGACAACAAAAACAATCCCATAGTTGTAGTAAAAATGCAACAACGGAGAAACTTTCCTCTCCGTTGGAAATTCATAGAAGCAGCATTAAAAGCCGAAGAAGATCAATCCTGGCTATGGCATAGAAGATTCGGACACTTCAATTTCAATGGGCTAAAGTTACTCCATCAGAAAAATATGATGAAAAATCTACCAGCCAACCAAATAAACGACAATCTCTGCAAAAAATGCATGGAGTGAAAACAATATAGAAAACCATTTCCTCAAGCCAAGCAGGAAGAGCCAAACAAATACTAGAGCTGGCGCATACAGACGTGTGTGGACCAATGAGGACGCCAACCTTCGAGAAGAACAGGTACTCCATCCTCTTTATTGATGACTATACAAGAATGATTTGGGTGTACTTCATGAAAGAAAGGTCCGAAGTCTTCTATATTTTCAAGAAATTCAAAAACCTCGTCGAAAATCAGAGAGGAAGAAGAATTAAAGTACTTCGCTGTGATCGAGGAACAGAATACACATCCAAGGAGTTCAACAAATTCTGCGAGGATGAAAGAGTCAACCATCAGCTAACTGTCGGCTATGCTCCAGAGAAAAACGACGTGTCAAAAAGGAAAAATAGAACCGTGCAAGAGATGTCCAGGACAATGCTTGCAGAGACATGCCAAAAGAATTTTTGGCAGAAGCTATATACACTGCAGTCTATATACTCAACAGGTGCCCTACTAAAGTTGTCCAAATAAAACTCCAATAGAAGCTTGGAGTGGACGAAAACCGTCAGCTCAACATCTACGAGTTTTGGGAGTATCTGCTACGTGTACATCCCAAAGAAAAAGAGACCCAAATTAGAGGAGAAATCCGAGAAAGACATATTCCTCGGCTATACGTCTCAATCTAACGGATACAAAATTTACATCCTCAAGACTGGTAAACTAATTATCAGTCGAGATGTTGAGTTCGATGAAAATACTGCGTGGAACTGAGAGGAAGAAAAAGTCGAATACCAAAATATCATGGTACCTACAACGAGGCAAAATACCATACCAGGAGAACATGAAGATGAAACAGAAGGTACACAAACACCTCCAGCTCCACAACCTACAAGTCCGAAACAACACCATCAACTGACGAACAATCATCCCCATAATCACCACTGAGAAAAGTACGAACACTCAGGGAGATCTACAAGACATGCATTTTTTCCACGATGGAACCTGAAAGCTTTGAAGCAGCAGTAAAGGAAATATAGTGGGTAAAAGCCATGGAGGAAGAAATCAGGATGATCGAGAAGAATAAAATTTGGGAGTTGGTCGATCCACCAAACAACAGAGAAGTCATTGGAGTTAAATGGGTCTACAAGATGAAGCTTAACCCAGATAGTTCAATCCAAAAACATAAAGCACGGCTGGTAATTAAAGGGTACTCACAACTTTCCGGGATAGACTACAACGAGACCTTCGCTCCAGTTGTTCGGCTAGATACTATAAGAGCTCTAATTGCACTAGCATCTCAGAAGAAATGGAGAATCTACCAGCTGGATGTCAAGTGTGCATTTCTTAATGGCTATCTGGAAGAGGATATCTACGTTGAACAACCTCAAGGGTTCGTGGCAGAAGGACAAGGAAATAAAGTCCTAAAATTAAATAAGGCGCTTTACGGATTGAAACAAGCTCCACGAGCCTGGTACAGTCAAATTGATGACTACTTTACCAGTCATGAATTCAAAAGAAGCGAAATTGAGCGAACACTCTACATAAAGACCCAAGGTAACGACAACAAACTCATTGTCTCTCTTTATGTTAATGATCTTATTTATACATGGAACAATGAGAAGATGATTAAGGAGCTCAAAGAAGATATGATGAAGACCTTTGAGATGACAGACCTTGGGTAAATGAGCTATTTTCTCGGCATTGAGGTAAACCAAGAAGAACATGGGATATTTATCTCACAGAGGAAAGATACAGATAATCTATTAAAAAGGTTCAAGATGGACGACTGTAAACCAGTGGCTACTCCCATGGTTGCGAACGAGAAATTCACCAAAGAAGATGGTACACCAAATGCGGACGCATCCACATACTGAAGTCTGATTGGAAGCTTGCTATATCCAACGGCCACAAGACCGGATATCATGTACGCTACAAGTCTACTGTCGAGGTTCATGCAATGTCCAAGCCAAGACCACTATGGAGCTGCAAAGAGAATACTGTGATATTTGTAGGGTACTAAAGACTACGAAATCCAATACGAACATAACAAAGATTCAAGACTGGTAGGCTACACAGATAGTGACTGGGCTGGATCAACTGATGACATGAAAAGCACCTCAGGCTACACATTTTCACTTGACTCATGCATATTCTCGTGGTCATCTAAAAAGCAAGATTGTGTTGCGCAATCCTCAACAGAGGCAGAGTATGTTGCAGCAGCACTAACAACAAGTCAAACTATTTGGCTAAGGCGTATTCTTGGATACATGGGTGAACACCAAGAAAGTCCAACAGAGATATACTGCGACAACAAGTCAGCGATAGCAATAGCTAAAAGTCTCGTTTATCACAGCAGGACCAAACATATTACTATCAAATATCATTTTCTAAGAGAAGCTGCTAATGACAAGCAGATAAAGCTCACGTATGTCACCACTGAAGATCAACTTGTAGATATTTTCACAAAAGCTTTACCGAGACCAAGATTCGAGACTCTACGCGAAAAACTTGGAATTAACCAAATGAGCATTAAGGGGAGTGTTAAAATTATGCTCATTTAATAAATTAGTTGGAAGTTGGTTGTCACTGGTTGTAATAATGATCAATTATTAGTTGGATTGGTTGTCATTAGTTGGCATTTGTAATAATGATCAATTATTAGGACTCTAGAGATTTTTTTGCTTCATATAAATATGTGTGCTCAGATTGAATGTGTATGTAAGAGATTTTGAATAAGAAAACATTTCAATCTTCTTCTCTTCATTAGCTTCTTTACTAAAATTTTCTTCTTTACTACAATTTTATTCAATTACAATTACAAGTTATTTTTGATACCAAAAATTTTTAAATTTTGTATAGTTTATTTTCAAATTATTTTTTACTGTCTCCCACTTTATTCAGCTATTGGCTGTTTGTATTCATCTGTGAGCTGTATGTATTCAGCTGTTGGCTGTACTTTTGTAAATTTCTTTGGTTTATATATAATATCTCTATCGTTTCGAAAAAAAAAAAAAACAACAACTCGCCCTCCGTGCATGAGCACGGGTTCAATAGATTATCAATTTTCCATGCTATTACTAATTATCAATTTAAGAAATAGATTATGAATGGGCGAAGAACATAAGTATAGAATTATTAAAATACACTAAAACATCCAAACAATTGGCATTTACAATTAATATCAATGCATCAACATG